CCTGTGTTGTCAGTACATGCATGACATTTTCTTTGTAGTTTTAAGATTATTAAGAGTAATAGCCCTAGCCTGAATCTCCAGCCAAGCCATTTTGCCCCGTTTCACAGATTTACTGGAAGTTGAAGTTGAGAATTCTCAAAGAAGAGCATAAGATTTCCTTGTATACACTTCACTTGTATGTTGAAGCACTCTAATTTGTCCTGTGCTGGCTTCATCTGGAGTGGGCCTCAGCCTTTTTTTAGCTAGTTTTTGAGCTAATTATTTGTAGCAGCTGCATGAAAAAGGTCAGTGGTATCCATTGCTTAGTAAGTACAACAGATGGGCTGATTTTTGGCACAACTCAAGAGCTGTGCAATATGAAGTAAGATTTTTTCCATGTCTCAAATCCCAGTGTTTTCACTTCTGACCTTGTATTGAAAACTGAAAGGGTGCATCTCTACCAGCTGTTTTGGAAATGTATGATTTGACAATTAGAATTAATTTAATTTCTAAATAAAAAAAACAATGAAAGCAAACCCTTTACTTAATTTCAGAGACTTTAATAGGAAAGCATAATCATGCATTATTTAAAAGGCAATGCCGTGAGTATTTTCCTGTTAGTTTGATATATGTGAAGGCTGTGCTGTGCACGAAAGTAACTGTTGGTCAAAACTGCAGTTACATTAGGATTGTGCTGTGACTCTTCAGGATATCTTGCTTAAAGCACAGTGAGTGAACATCCACAAGAAATTGAGCCAGGGACACTGCATCCTAAGTCTTATGCTTATTTGAAAATGGTGTTACATGCTTTCTAAAAATTTCTTTAAGCACACCATGACTTGGGCCATTTTTATGGCTCAAGTTACGTAGCTGCACCAGATGGCAGCAGGACCCCAGGACTCTCTCGCACTCGGGATGGACTTTTGGTGGTAGAGATGGATCTGAATCTTTGCAGACAAGTCAGTGACAAATGGAATTTTAAGGTAAGCCTGCTTATAAATAAACAAACACATATGATATTAGAACAACCAAGCTTTCATAATGATCTTATAATCTTACAATAGTTAAAAGTCAGCCTTTTTTAACAGTCCGGAGCTTAAATTGTTGAACTAATTTAAAGATGTTCTGGAGGCCAAAGGAATAAATGAATTCCAGAAAGGAGTAGCCAAATTCAGGGAAACTAGCCCAATAGCTTTTAAATGAAAAACAGCCTTTGGTCCTTAAGTGTGGATTGCCAGGAGCTACAAGGACTGCTAGGGAAAATTGTGTACACTCTCCCTATACAAAGTATATAGGCATTTGTCACTTGGCTGAGATGGACCTCTGATCTGACCTAATATGGTAGTTCTTTATATTCTTATAGGCCTTATGTGTCAGTTTTGGTGAAATATAGTGAAAACCCAAAACCACAAGAATCTTTAAGCATCTGAGAACTTTCTGAATCCAAACTTCTTGCAGTCTTAATTCCTTGAATTTGTGGACATGTTGAAGCCGCAGACAAAGTACCGTGTACATTCATCTCTGAAGCATACTAACGAACTTTGAATTTATCTAAATCAGATTAAGACAGCTGCAAGCCTCTCCACATGACTTGAACAAACTTACTTATTACTATTTTTTGTATTCTGAGATAAAGCTAAATAATTGGATCATCTTTCCTGAGGGTGTAATTTGATTTAATTTGTCCAGTAGCAGTGTTGATTTAAGAAACTTCCACCTCAACACTGCGGTTTGCTCACCCTTCAGTTGTGCCAGTACAGGCTATGTGGGGTGCTATCTTGTATACTGGCTTAGTGGGGTGACCAGATTATTTTTATTTTAAACAAACAAACAACACTCTAGTTTCTTCTTTTAATCTGATCAAGTTTACAACAGGCCTCACAAATGTTCTGTTGGAACAACAAAGAAGGCAAACAAAAGGAGAAAAGAGGTTGCAACTTCTAAAATAGGCTTTGTTGATGAGGAAAACATCTTGCTTACTTCTGTCGAGAGAGGTCTTTCATTCTAGTCCTCAGTACTGCTAGAATTTTTTCCTGTCCACTTTTAAGATCAGCATGATTTGAATCCTAACAAAGTAGAACAGAACTCTTGAATTGCAACTGTCATAATATGCATAAGTTCTTCAGTAATAATCTAGTATTTAAAATGAGTAATAATTTGCAAGGAGTGTCAGGTTTTGCACATGTTACTGCAAGCAGAAGTTTATTTTATAGAGCTGGTTTATTTCGAACCACTTTGTGCATTACAATATAGTGCAATATATAATGTGTTTTGGTTTCATTTTGATGTAAAAATACAAATATTCTGTGGATTTGAAATGTTGAATAAACTTTTTAATTAAAACAGTTATTTATTAGCTAGAGCTGAATTTTTTTGCTAATGCTGCCAATCCATATATAGGGACTAAAGTTAAAAAGTAATTTCAGGTTGTCTTCTGGACAGATTGCATTTGTTGTTTTATAGATGCGTGTGGTAGGTATATGGTTGTTCATTGTGGAATTAAATGGTGCTAAGAGATTCCCAGGTTTGGGGTTTTTTAAGTCAGTCAGGCATTTAGTTTTGCTTTGCCACTAAAATCTGAGGCCTTTATAGCAGAGTAGAGATTTAGTGTGTCAGGAAGCCCATGGGGCATTGCTTGTAACAGCTTAGTAGGAGTATTCAAACAAAAGCAATTATATTGATTAGGAAAAACAAACAGTAAAAGCAAAACGCTTACCTTTAGCTGTTTCGTATAGAATTGCTTATTTTTTGTTGTCTTCAAGTCTTGCACTTTCAGCACCTTAGTTTAGCTGATGGTGTGGGTTGCTATTGTTGGTCTTTTGGCACATAAGGCACAGCTGTGAATTTTGTTTATGTGACAGGGGATATCTATTTCCTTTTCCTCTCATTTGTGGCCAAGACAGAGGTAGTTCTTGATATGAGGGGAATGAGGAAGTATGAAGTCATAGGTTATCCACCACAGAAAACCCTTGATAGCAAGTAGGAAGCTATTTTAACCTGCTCTGGTATCTGCTATTTGCATTCAGTGATGCCTGAAAGGGATGTTAAGCAGAATGTCTTTGCTAAACTTAAAGCAGCAAAATAGTTAAACACATTGTCCTCATTACACTCTGGTAAAAAAGAAGCAATTAGCCCCTCTCAGAGCCAGTGTTGTAGACTGCACTTCAGAAGAGGATGATGATAGGACTAAGTGAAGTGCTATATTTCAGCCTCCTAGATTACTGTATCACCCAAAGCAATGATAATATTTTGTATTATCAATGGATAAAGTGAGCAACCCAAATACCATCAGTGGCACATAAGCAAACATTGCTGGAAGCAGGGTTCATCCGTTGTCAAGGACATAATATGAAGACATAATTACAGATACATTCCTTTGCCTTCATTGACATAGCTTACCTAAAAAAAAGTATTGTTTATGCATAAGAAAGTCAGCCCACCTTTCACGTTCAACTTTCAGCTATCCAGGATAACCAGAATAGCATTAAGTAATTAGTCAGCAGACATGACTGTCCATGAAGGAGAGCTGCAGATCAGGAAGGTGTTCATTTTATAGTTTTATTTTTAGAGTGGAGATGGGCACTTCTCTTTTTGGTATAGAAGTATAGTTTTAGGCACGCAATGCAAGTTCTTTTATAAAAGTATGTTTGTTCTAAGGCGCTGGAGGTCTTGCATTTTGAGTGAATTATGGTTTTACTGTTTGGGGCAATTAATGTGTTGCCATAAAAAAATGAGAGATGTAAATATTTTCTAATGAAGTACTTTCATAGCTCATTGAAAGAACTGAAGCTTTGATTTTTCTTTTCCAGATGACTGGTAGATATGAAATGTATGCGGAGAAGCTCACTGAAGCAGTCCAGCCTTATTTTGTACCCAATATAATAAAAGAGTAAGAGAGCATCTCATTACAATCAAATGTTACCTAACAAATTAAAAGGTACTGTTGAATGATAGCTTTACTGTGGATCACAAGCTGTTATTTTAATGTTGTTGTTTTAATTAACTGTAACTTTTAAATAATAGGATTCAAAACTGTGTTAAGTAAAATTGAAAAATGGCTTCTTGGGTGTGGGTTTTTTTTGTCATTTACACTGAGTCCAAACTTTTGTTCCTTGCTAGAAATATATCCAGTAGGAATACACAGATATAAAGTGATGATGCAGTTTATTTAATACTGTGTACTGCGATATAGTTTGATGGAGATGATGAGTTCAGAAGACATAAATTTTATCTAAGCTTTGCATTGTGCATCTATCTACTTCTGCTTTAAATTTTTTATCCAAATGCATAATTTCTGGAAAAAGGAGGCATAAATTTTTTTTATATGTTTCTTTTAAATTACAAACTATTTGATGCAGTTCTGTTAGAGCTAAATAATGTCCCAGCATGTCCTAGTTTGAAGATCTGTGGGTACTGTAAAGCAAGACCACTTTGGTTCTTTCAATCTCCCTTTACACAACATATTACAACCACTGTTGGATGAGCATCTTTGGGCTCCTTCAAGGTGCAAAAGTAGTGCTTCAGACTCTTAATATCTTCAGAAGCTCAGTGCTGGGTTGTGAGGCAAAAACAGGAACACTGGCTAAAATGCAGGCAAGGCTGGTGCAGTTGCATACTTGCGAACAGGAAGCTAGAGAGATGCTATTAGGGATCAGAATGGGTAACAAAAACTGCTTCCCTGGAGCTGCACTCCAGTAGAATAGTCAGTGGTTGCAGAGTTCACAAAACACGTGTTGAATATAGATAGCAATACATTTGCTGTTCTCAGCTATTAGTGTGTATTGAAATTTTGTTTGGTATGATTCAGGTGATGCAGCAGGTGTTCAGGAAGTGCAGAATGAATACAATTTACAGCCTAGCATCTATGAATTTAGAGCTGAAATAAATACTTGAACTCTTAAATTTTTTTCCAAATTACAATTTCAGCTGTGTCATTTATAGTTAAATATAACACATCCTCTAAAAATTTTCAAATTATTTTCCACAATAAGCTAGTTAATAAACGCACTTGCTACATTATGTTACAGGGTTATCTGTGACTTTAAACCTTTATTGAGAATGGCTTAATTACAAATAAAAATATATTTATGTATAAAATCCCTGCATGTAAAATACCCCTTCTTTTGCTATTGACATCATAAAGGAAACAAAGTGACAAAACATTTTCATAACGAGTATTTTTATAGACAATCTTGTAATGGGAAACAAAGTTTCAGAATATGCAGATGTTCTGAATGCTTGTGCAATGACCTGCTTTTAATCTGAATTTTGTGTCATATAAATACTCTGTCTTTTCACTTGGCTTCTGCTTCTTGTGTTTTCACCTCTCATAACTATCTTCCATTTGACAGCTATAAGAGATCCTGTTGCAATGGTGGAACTCCCCTTTTGTCTCTATTAGCTTAATCATTTTTTTTCAGTTTTGTTAAAGTATTTAAACCCTGGGTACCAATGTTTAACAGTCAACGTTGTAACACCTATCTGTGCACTTCAGAACATTTAGCATGCCCTTAAATTCATGGTTTATGTATAAGCTCAAGATTCGCATTTGGTAACTGAACCTGTAAGAGGCTAAATGGCAATTACAAATCTTTTGAAAGAATTATTTTTATTTACCTAGCCAAGCCTGCTCTAAAATAAATCCTGTGGCAGTTTAATGGTATTGAATGCACTACCTACCTGAAAATGCACGGGTTAAGGAAGTACTCTATCAATCTGTAGTTTACATACTTGTTACTAATTAACATAGCTAGTATAATCTCTCTAAATTAAACATTGTGAATTTAGACTTGGAAACAAAAATTCCTAGATTGGTAGCTACCTGGTGACTTTAGAGGAGTTGGAAGGCGTTCTCTGTGTACCTTTTTTCTGGGATTCTGCTACTGGCACTGATCTGGTTCTGCGGCTCAGAAATCACATCCAAATTTTTACTAGTTATGCAAGTATAAATGCCAAAACAAATTCCAACTTCAGCAATGATTAAAAAACCTGATACACTGAAAATTCCTTGTTCTTTGTTCAGAACACTGAATTTTAAATGTCTGTTTCTATTTTTAGCCTTTGCACAAAGAAGTACTCGATTCTACTATGCATACCTACTGAACACTTTCCAGATACTTTTCAGTAAGACAACTGATGTTTTCTCTTAGAAAAATTTTTTACCATGCTGAAAGTGATTCCCATTATTTTCACCACTAAATAACAATGTCCTCTTGCTGTTATTTCACACAGTTCTAGAACTCGATAACAGTTCTCCTAAAGCCATGCCAAAGGTGTCTTAAGTGCAAAATAAAATTTTGCTAGCTTTACATCATTATTAACATCGATTTTTATACCCACCTCAACATAGGCAGAACTGGAGATCAAGACTTGTAGAAAACTGTGATGGCTGAATCTGAGTGGCTATTTCCTACCCTTTACAGTGCTCATCAGCAAAGTAATTAAAAGCCAGGTAATACACAGAAGGATTATGAAGGGACTGCTAACAATTTCAGTTGATAATGTCTGAATACAGTAATTCCAACTTAATCCAAATACAGCTGTAGTATACAAGTCAGAAAATCTGAGTTCCTGCTTTTTTACTTGTAGCAAAGCGATGTTTGTATTCCCTCTTTTCTTAATTGATTTCAGCTCTTCTTAAAAGGTCACTGAACTGATGCCAATAGCAAAATTTGAGTCAAATTGTGATTCAGCATTTTAGTTACAATCAGTATATGCTGTTAGGTATTTACAATTTACACAAAAATGTATAGCATTACTGTGCATGATCATTTTCTGTATTTGCTTAATAAGTTTACAAGTTTATATTTAGAATGGATTCTGCAGAAACTGCCACAAGTAGGTGGCATGAAGTTCAGAGGTTTCTGCAAAAAGCAAGAGACTTTTAGGTACAAATAAAATGTCTTCACTTAAACTTTTGGGGCAATACAGAGCTCTGAGCGGTCATCCTAGAGGATTTAGCCAAACCAGAGTGAGTTTGTAGTAAAGGAACAATACCAATAACTATGATTCAAAATTTTATGCAGTGGCATAAATGCTAAATCTGTGTAAGGTGAATTTGGGAAGTTTCCTTGAGTAAATGTTTCATTCCTACACTGCAAGACACTATTGGGGTTGACATAGTGCTTAAGGATATGGTGTAGTTGAGAACTGTCAACGTGCGATTAATGGTTGGACTAGGTGATTTTCAAGGTCTTTTCCAACCTAGATGATTCTGTGATTCTATTGGTAAGCCAGCAAGGCATTTTTGTTATTTAAAAGTGGCTTAAGTGAGTATTTTTTCCTTCGATAACATCCTGCTGAACCTCAAATCCCTAGATTTAGGATGAAGATGCTTTAACAGAGAGAGAAACAGGTATTTCCTATTATTTTTTTCCTGGTTTTGTTTACCTAAACCTATGCATGTATTACCAAGTGTTAAAGTTCATTAATTTGGTGCTTTTTTCTCTTGTGTTTAATTTGAAAATAAGCTCAAAGTGAACAGGCCCTGGGCCTGTATTTTAAAACTGCTGTCAAATGTGCAATGTTGAAAATCAGGAAGGGAAAAAAAAGTGAGACATACATTGCAAAATCAAATATGTCATCAGGAAAAAAAAAAAAGGTAAAGACAGCATTGCAGTATAGTCCTATCAATGTCTATAAAGCCTCCCTTGTTTAAGATCCCACTGCAATTCCGGAGCACGGTCTCTGCAGGGGGAGTCCTGAGACAAGCAGCCAGCTGCCATGCAGGCTGCACAGGAAAGGACCAGAAGTATCAGGTGTGGGTGTCAGCTGTCTGTGTAGATGAACAGAATATCTTCATCAGTGCCGTAACTTGTCCTGGCTTCCTCAAAGTTACTGATGCTGGTGCAGCATGTTCCTGTTAAGAAGGAACAAAATGTTAGTAAAAATTCAGAAGAATTTGCTCATGAAAGGCTTTTATACTGGATCTAGCAGCCTCTACAAAGAAAAGTAACTGGTACACAGACTAGACCTATAGCTTAGGTTACAGCTTTACTTGGGTAGATCTTTTTACCTCAAAGGCAGTGCTCACTAACATAATGTTGTAAATAGGTATTAAACTGGCCATCCTGTTATATTCTGAACAGTTCAACATCTCTCATTGACCCATCTGAAAGCCAAACAAGTTTGCTAGAATGTGTATCTCAATGCCTCAAATAAACCACAGCACAAAATGCAGCACTAATTTAATTAATGTGGCAAAAACCCTTCTGACAAATTGGTTAGTAATGCCTGAAATACATGTATATTAGGGGAAGTACAGTTGTGGCTTTGTATTACCAACACGTTAGTAACACAGCTGAGAATCCACCCAAAAGGCTACTCACGGTCAGCATAGGCAGGGTTGTTATAGTAAATACTCCCTGAGGCTTTGTTGTAGCCACATAACACAATGAAATGGCCCTGGTAGTCAGGATTCCTGCAGAAGCACTTCTGTCCAATGGGGAGGAAGCAGCAGTATTTGACAGGACTTGAGCAAAGATCACACAATAGCAGGACCGCATTCACTAGGACAATGGCTACATGACCTTGGGACAGGTGGTTTTGGATGTCTTGAACAGTTACTGTGCTGCAGAAAAAAAAAATCAGACATGCTTATTAGCAAGTTTAGGAAAGAGACTGGTATACAATGAAGTGCATGATGATGGACAGTACTTGCAACACACAGCTGGCGTGGTTATTTTTATATCACAGGTCCAGTTTTTTTGCTGGTTTTGCTACAGACAAAGCCTGACAAACCTATGTCATTCAAGGCCTTTTGATCTCATTGCTGCTACTGTAAGTGCAAAGCAACAGCTCTGGATTGTGCGTTAATATAAACGTAATCTCAGAATGTATCAGATGCCCCAGAGAAGAGTATTAAAGGAGCTCGTAACTTGAGAGACTTCTGTTGTGGGAAAATCGTAAGTGAAGTGTTCTCTCCTGCTTATCTCTGAAGCACCAAATCTTTTAACTACTCAGTTGATAAAGATTGTATAATCAATTAAGATTTGCCCAAATTTGCCTCTGTCACACAGGAATACGTTTCTTCCAGCTCCAATTTTGGACTCCCTGATGCTTTTGAGGCTTCATTCCTATAGTACTTCTTACAGAGAATGAATATTACCCAAACATAACCTAGAATCTCATCTGTTAAAAGCTGTCCTTCACTGAGGCAGATGGTGTATTTCATATGCATTAGAAACTCATCCCCTGGATACGTTCCAGATGTCGGGGCGCTGTGCACTACCTGACTGAACTCATGCTTTTTAATCTTTTTCCAGTGTTGTTTCTCCTCTTTGCCCCAAGCCTCAATGCTGCACAGGTTGATATCACTCTGTCCCTGCCTTGTTGATCAAGGCCACAATTTTAAGACTGCTAAAGCAGGATGGATTGACTGTCCTGCCACAGCTCTAGTTAAGCAGATGGTGCCATACAGACTCTTTGTATGTTTAAAAGGACACTTAACAATGCTAAATGAAAGCTGCATTGCAGCATTCAAATGCTGTTATGGTTGCCTTGTAGCCCCTCTTCTTACTCCTAATCCCTTAGCCAAATTCAGCAACAAAGATCCAAATCTAACTTCCCTATAAAAAGGGATGCAACTCTTTGAACGTGGACACTTAGTTATTTCCCATGTAGATTATTAGTCAGCTGTGAAAGAATTCTGCATTTTTTTCCTTCTCCTGGGTTTGCAGTTCTTTTGAAGAGGTTCCTTATTTCATCTTCCCCTTGGCAAAAACTCATAGGCTAGATTCTTCTTTGTGCTTCTGTCTAGGAACAAAGAACTATGTCTGCATAGCTCTGGGAACAGTGGGTTATGTGCCCATGTAGCACTCTCCTTAATTCCAACAATGGCCAATTAAGAGTGCTGTAAGGCACTCCCTACTGGGTAATCTTAGTGGATAATCAAATTCAAAAGATAAACAATAGTCAACTCCTGTCAGCATTTTCAAATCACTTATTCTGTGTCATGCCTATTTTTCCTCAAACTTCATTATTAACTCTTGATGTCCACAGGGTTTTTTTTGAGATGGGTATAGTAGAAACACTGTAATTCACAGAAAAGGCTCAGGGCTTGATTTCAGTCTCTTTTACCAGTTTAGCTTGGTGACTCCAAGAAAAGCACAGCACCCACAGAATCTCCCAAGAGACAGGAAAGAAAACAATAAGCTTACCACTTCTCCACCAGCACCTTGCAGGCTTTGGCTTGTGCAAAGAGCTGATTCACTCGATTCTCTTCTGTGTCAAAGTGCTTCCTGTAAAATGACTGCGGAGATAACAGGTTATGAACTGGAATGATGTTTACCTTAGGTAATCCACGACTTACAATCCCTGCTAGCAAGGGCCTGCGTAAATTGGAGATCTGGCTATGGGATAAGAGATGTCTCCTTTAGTTCACTAATAACAGGATAAGGATTCCTGCTCTAAATTTTAAGTTTAAATTCACTTGTGGTCAGTTACTGTTGTAATTTCCATCCAGTGGCTATTCAGATGCCTACGTGAAGAAGCCTTTCTGGTTTGTACTGGGCAGGAGCTTGCATTAGAAAAGCCATTGCCACCATAGGCACTCATTGGCCCCCTTGCTGGCAATTCTGAAGAGGTCAAGCTCTCAATGGACATGGAGGCTGAGTTCCCCTCTCACCTCTAGAGGTGGTTCTTCCAGGTCAGGGCTGAGGCACGGTGGTGGGGAAAGTGTGGAAGCTAGCACTGCTGCTGCCCAGGCTGTACCTGTTCTGTAGATAAACAGAGGGCTTCAGTCTCCAAGGCTGTCAAACAGGCTGAAACCTTTTATGAGCGTTAGGTGAAAACTTTATAAAAAAATCATATTATGGAAACAAAGACGTAAAATATGTGGGATCACATCTAGCCTCGCCTTTGGAACTGAGTTGTGCCAGTTTTGGCAAAAGGTAAACCTTGTTTACAGGAACCGTGGTTAATTGTCAGTAACAAAACAGAGCTTTTAAAGCGTGACACACAGGGCTTTTACAACCCTCTGCTGTCTCCCAGTAGATAAGAATACTAACCTGATTTTTGTAGCCCTTGTCCACTCCAAGCGTCTGGGTGCAAAATTTATGCTTGACACCAAAGTGCCGCATTAGGTAGGCCAGGTCAATAGTCCAGATACTCTTTGTTAACTGGAGCTCCTGGATGGCTTTCTGAAATTCATCATTGTCCAAATGATTCAGGTACCTATGGTATTAGGAAAGGCAGAGGAAGAGAAGCACAGATCTCAGGAGAAGCAAAATGTGTGCTGTAGCCCAAGCCTCCACATCACAGGACGTACAAACTGAAACAATGGGCTTTGCTAAGAAAAAAACAAACAAAAAAACCCCAACCCACAAAGGAGCCACAAATTTAAGGGAAGGGAAGGGAGTAGGGAATATTTAACTGGATTTATTTCTGACGTTTTTAAAAATTGGAAATGTATGGGTATCTTGACTGTTTTATAGTGCTAGAAGTGTACAGCTGCTGTACAATAGGCAAGCTATACTGAGCAATATAGAACTCTGTCCTGAAGGGCTTACAGTCTAAATGTACAAGCATATTAGAGCAAACACAGAAGTGTTAAAGACTAAAACTTGCTTCACACAATAGATGGATTTAAAAAGGAGTAACTGTAAAGGAAGTTGGTAAATATTCAAAGGAAGCTTGTCTTAGGCACTGATGGCACAAAAGGCAATAAAGGGAAGATGAAGTCAGAAGGAAGCTTGGGACAGGTTGCAAAGGGTGGGGAGAGGCAGTGACAGTTCTTGAAGTCAGAAAACAAATGGAAGTAAATGGAAAAAAACAGGACTGGAATTGAGGATGCAGGGCAAACAAGGTTGGATCAGCAGGGTGAGAAGATTAATCTTGCAAGCTGAGTTTTGGGCAGACCGGAGTGGCAAAGAGGTAAAGGGAATAAAGAGGCAGAGGTTACAGTAGTCAAGATGGGAAATTACCAGCACACGGACTAACGTCTTGGCAGAAGGGATGGAGAGAAATGAAAATCTTCTGCTTCATATCTACTAAGTGGACATCTAAATAGGTATCTCTCCTGCACCTAAGCTCATGTTCCTCTGTGGAAGGAAAGAGGAGTTCAGCAGGACAGCTACTAGTTCAAAAAAAAGAAAAACCAAAACAAAACAAAAAAAAACCCCAAAGGGCAATACAGTGCATTGTTTTGAAGTCGAAACTACTCCTGGAACAAAACCACCTCATCCCACAGATTGTGGGCTCAGCAGGACAGAGGGAGCATATACTCATAAACTGGGGTACACCTACCCATCACTTGAAAACACAGAAAGGAATCAGGTGAACTGCTGTGCTAAGTGTCAGTTCTGAATTCTAACAACAAGAAAGAGGAATAACTTTTTATCATGCCAACCTGCAAAGTTCTTCAAGCTGATCAGGTATTTTGCATCTGTCAAAACAGTCAATTATTCAAAAGGATCTAAAGTTCCTCTTAGTTTCTATTTTCCCTTGCTCCTGCTGAAGAGCTGTGCCAGGCCCAAGCAGCAGTAATTCTCCAAGAGTACCTGAGAATATGTGCTCTCATAAAACCAAGTTAAACTCACAGCTGCTTCAACACACCTCTTCTCCCTGGACGTTGCTTCCCGCTACCCCTCTCCCATGGGATGGGATTTCCCACCCGTTCAAACCAAAACAGTCACTTACTGAAGCACCATCCTGGAGCAGGCTAGCCCACAGTCCCAGTGGTACAACTGCTGAATGACTGGCACTTTCAGCTGGATGCAGTCAACTGTAGTGAAAACATCCCATTGTGAGTAAAACATGAAAGACGTCAACCCATACAGGAATGTTTTTTCCACACCTCAGCATTAAAAGTCAGCTTCTCCTCAGCACTATAGTGGCTGAAACTTAGAAACAACTTTTTACTTTATCTGATTGGCAGGTATTTTGTTCTTCCTTAGGGGAATATAGGTTTGGTATTTTTACACACTTAAGCATTTGGTTTAATATCATACTTCTTTACTGTTCCATACCTGGATCGCTCTGCCATATGGTCAACCCCCTTTTCCTTTTTTGGGGGGGGGGGATGACATACCTGTCAGCCCCTAGGTAAGCTATATACCCTCCTAAATAATAGCAGGTAAGGCACAGGTATCAATCCTTTCTCTTGTGCCTGAATGTATTTTTGTGCCACAAAAGGAGTCAGACCAACTGTGAGAAAACAGACACAACCAGGATCTCTAGGCATCGATCTCTTACAAGCTCTAAAGATACAAGCGTCTTCTACAGATGTCTTTTTCCTCAGGGACTGTAATTTATGTGAGTAATTTCAGGTAACAAAGCTCACAAATGGCACCAGTTGGCCTTTTGTATTAACTCCCTCAATAACTCAACAAAGGGAGAGGAAAAAAGAAAAATCTCTACCAAAAAGGCCCAGAACACAAATAACTCCATCCCTCTGCCTCAGTTTTTATTTGTATAGGGTTGGCAATGGGGTGGTTTCACTGTCAGAAACACCTTTACCACTTGAAGTCTTGTGCCTGTTATTGATACTTAAACATTGATCAAAGTGAGTTCATCAGAGCTTTTCTCAATAATCTTACCTTTGATCAAGAAAAGACCTTTGAAAAGTTTTGTTAACACAAGGTCAACTACACTTTAAAATGGGAATAAAAATGCATTTACATCATGTGGACTGGTCTGGTTTTGCTGTCATTTTATTTATGAAACTTTTAATATAATGTTGTTTGTAATCTTGTATTATTTCTAACAAAGCTATAGCCTGCTGCAGGGACAAGCCGATACAGATATTCTGGACTCTTAACTATTTTTTCATAGTTTTGCCACTGTTTAATTGTGACTTTGAAGATGGGCATACCTATTGGTATATTCAATCTTTCCAATTAATTAAGAGTACCTTAATCTAAAGTATCCTAAAAAAAACCCAAACCCAAACAATTCCCAGATTCTCCTCAAACCAGGATCTGTTTTGTTGTCATTTTTTCTTGGCATATTACGATTCTGTTCCCTTTTTGTTAATACCCAGGGCCTCTGTCAAATCCCAAGGTTAACTGAAGAGGTACATGTTTTCTACATGAACACTTCAAAGGTTAACAACTTTAATTTTCTTTGTTGTCCAGCTTCCAGGCATCCTGTTTCCCAGCCCACCCTGAGTTTTTCAGTGATGACTGTCAGCAGTCCTCAGATAAGACACGAGCCCGTGTACGCTGTGACTGCAAATAACACTGAAGGCACCGCTCCCCTTTGCCAGCCCCTCGGTGCAACGAACTTAAGAGGGAGCCAGTCATTCCACTCTGCTGCTGCTGGCAAAACCGGCAGCTTCGCAGCTCTGGGAGCACGGCGGAGGCCGCCGGGGCCTCCCGAGGGGACAGCAAGAGCCGCCTGCCGCGGGCAGGGCCGTACCCAGGCCTCCCTACCCCAGCCCGAGAC